ACTCGGTTTGCCTCAGGCTATATAACTGATTTCATGCCACCCGATGTTTCCGATTGCATGGATCACATCACGGTCTTTTGCCCAAAAAAGAGATTACGGCTAATTAGAGTGAAACAGGGAGATTGCGTGGGAAGAACAAAAACCAACTACAGTAAAGTCCCACGGTTGCAGGGTCTCCCTAGTCTTCTGGGCCGAGCCTTTGCAGGGACTCATGCACATAGCCAGCTGCACTTTGTAGTCAGAATCGTAACATACGCCTCAGCTTTCAACGGATGGATCATGGATCATCATGGATCCAATCAATGCATCGACAAAACATGCGGGAAATGCTCTGAGACCCTGACAGGCTGGCTGCTCCGTCATGGCTTTTGGAAGCTCTGAACACCCCCTAGGCCAAATCCAAAAAACGCCAGGCCATGCGCAACAGTAGAAATGAACAAACACACATAAGCAAACGGCAAGGGTCATCAAGTGAGACCAATCACACATGGTGCACGATGGTTCCTTCTGATGACAAGGAACTTTTTCTTTCAATTGTAGTTGGGCAGCATATGCAGAATCAACATGCAAGAGTTGCAGACCAAAAAGGGCAAACGTTGTGTGTGGACAAACTTTCGGCACCAGGTTTCCCTGCTTGCCACCACTTGTGGCCTTGAGCTGTTGATCATCTCGAGCTACACCTTCGCACCAGGCCTGAAGTGGCGCTGGCCCAAAGCTCCACGTCATAAATGAAATCCGCAGAATCCCAAAGAAATGTTATATATTGGGTCTATCCTAATACCAGTAACAGTGGATGATGATGGTTAGTCGGTTTGTAGAGGCCTTTCTCTCAAATAGTGACAATTGTCTACTGACTGTTACAGGTAAGAGGACAAACACAAGTTATACACAGTAATTAATGAGTTAATGTGGATGTTGCTTCTGGTGGCGGCTTGAGAGGCGCAAAACCAAAAGGGAAAGCAATTGTTTCAGTGGCTCAGAGATTGCAGCTGCGCCCTTTCAAGTTGATAGTGACCGATCCTGTATGTATCAGGCCCCTTACAAGGGCCTGCAGGTAGGATAGGGTGATTGGTCAGCTTGGCAAATGGCCTTTTTTCACATCACCCAACGCCTCAAAATTCCAACTCTCCAATCCCAGAGTGGAAGCAATTGTAGATAATCCACGCTTCTACCCGGGAAAACCACCAACAGCCACATGCGATGCAAATTGTTGAGAGGCCGGTGGTGGCCACCGCTTCGGCAATGTCCAACTCCTTAAGCTATCTGCAAACACGACTGGTTACTTTGTCGGAGATTGGGGCATTGGGTTGGGTGTTCGTTCATTGTGCTTGGGGAATGTCTGCAAGGGTTCACAAAGCTAGGATTGTTTCCGTCTCCGTCAACCTGGAATAGTGCCCCGGGTAGTGGTGCTGTGTCTTGTTCAGATCAAGAATCTTCAGCTGCGGCAAAAGCGGGTTTTAAAATGAACACGGCCTGCGCGGAGTTGCGAAAAAGCAGTCAGGAACGTGCGGCATTGACCGCCATGTTGCTTATTCCTTTCTTGGATGTTTGTGCGTGTGCTTTTCTTGGGCCCTCCCACCGGAGAATTTTTACTGCTGGGACATCCAAGGTCCAAAGCCACAAGACCGCCTGGAAAAAGTGGTTTGCGCAAACGGATGGTCATGAGAGCACAACATCTTGGACAGTATTTGGCCCTGTCCAAGCTGAAGACGGTGTGATCAAGGCAGTCTTGAGCGTTTTCCAAATTGAGGAAAAGAAGAACATTCTACAAAGCTGGTCAGCCCACTCAGCAACTTCCAGCACTGAGGCGTTTTATGCCCCGGAATCCTGTAACCAAGGAAGCCATTGCCATTGCAGTTTCCTTTCCTGTGCTTTCCCAGGATTTAGCGCAGTTGCCCACAGAAGATTGCAGCCACACTACTGTAATCACCAGCCATATTGATGCTTCTTTGAGAACCGCATCAAAAATAGCAGTCTCAGGACTGACATGTTCACCTGCTCACAAAGGGCTTTTAGTTTTGACTCACCCGATGGCCAGGACCTAAGACCTCGGATATCTGTGACCATAGTGTGTCTCTTAAGGTGTGACCATTCTTTAACATGTAATTCTTCAACCTTTAGAACTTTAGAACAATGACTGTCCTACCAGGCATTCATGCAACCAGTCAAAAAAGTGACCCATGAGCAAACACACAAGCATAGCCCAACGTGAAGTCAGCAAAGGATCCAACGCATCCTTTCTTGCCATGCGATATCTAACAATGTTTATCAACAGAATACAGTAGATGACTTTTAGAAAAAATGCATCATCAGCATCTATCATCTGCAAAAGCACAAAGCGCGGCACGTACATTTAAAAAAGAAGAACTACATGAAAAAAGACCAACACAATGAAACAATCAAACAAACATCTTGCCGTGTTCGGGCCTTGCAACTGGTTATGCTTGGCACTGCTGGACATGGTAGGCTTCCAGAAGTGCCAGTACCAGCCTCGGCTTGTTCAGGCGGGATCCCACGAGCAAATGAATTTGATGTCCCCTCCATGGTTTGATGTCCCAGGCGTTGCATGTGTCACCCTGAATTATATATGTTTCAAAGACCTTGATATATCTCATCAGGTGGTCTACAGATTTCTTCAGCCAAGTTGCTCCTTGTGTCCTAGCTTGAGACGCCTGGCCACACCAGGCACAAGGCTGATTGGCACAAGGCACCATTCAAGTGGTGTTCTTGGTATGAAGGCTTGGGAGTACTGTGGTTTGAATCGAAATTACCTTGTGCTTGAATCGAGATTAGGATTAGGATTACCTTGGTATGAAGTTCATGGATCGAATCGAAACTTCCCCATATTTCCCCATTCTTCTCAATTTGTTCAATTTCGTTGGATATGGAATAAATAATGCGGGTTTTGACGAGAAGAACAATGCAGAAGAATGGCAATCGATGGGGATGAGCCCCGTAGGTTTCCCGTGCTTGCTAGATTTCAGAAAACGACGTCCACCTTTCTCTCAAAGAGTCTTACATGGGAGGATGCAATGACACAAAATAGACACGAACAAACAAATCTGCGGCCGTGTGAAGACAGGAGTGCACAAAGTGTAGTAATTAGATTAAGTTACAGGTCCAAACAGGATCCAACTACTCTAACTCAAATGAGGCAATCAGGCCAACCATGGTGTCCTCGATAAAGGTGTGTAAGTGATTCATATACTCTGACCCGCAGGCTTTGCCTGCTGCCCTAACCTCGTCACCTGCGTGAGGCTGCGGCACAAATCTCAAGAACCGGCAACTCAACTCGCTAGCAGCCTAACGAAAAAATCAACAGAAACGATCACAGCTTCCCAGCACCGCCCTCACATCTGCCTACCGTACCCGAACGGAAACGCACTGAGTCAAGCTGTGGAGCCTCAGCGGAGGACACAAAACGACGCACTGCCCGGGTACCTTAGTGCACGTAGCAAAGAAGGAAAGTGTTGCCGGGGCATCGCCTCTGAATACTACCCGACAACAAACCTGTTTGATGTTAAGCGAACTTTGGGCTTGGCACCCAACATCTTGGGAACCAGGAAGTAGGACTCAAAATGCTGCAAGAATATACAGGAAGAAAGGCAAGCCTGCTTCATAGTTGTTTCATGTTGCTTTTACGTTGTAGATTGTACATCCGGTGCTGGGTCATTAATAGATCCATCAATCCTACGTCTCGACACATGCAGCCTCATCATGCTTGGAGTCCAACTGCCATCTGCTGAAAGCAGCAAGCCCAGGTCCCCAACCTGACAAACAGAAGAGGTGTAAAGGCCTTGAAAGTGCCCGTCAGGTTCAGGGTGGCTGGAAGGTATAAGCAGCAACAACAACAACAGCATGGACAGTAACCTCAAACTCAAACATGTGTGGCCCAGTATCTCGTTTCTTACTTTCAGATTTCAGGAGAGCACATGAGATGAGAACCCTTGACTTCTGTGGCAACGCTCCTTTATAGATTGCCTTTTTGAAGTGGAAGTTGGGAAGTGCGATGCAGTCGATCTTCCGAAACCTCACTAAGGCCTTCGAGATGCTCAGGGAAGAAGGAAAGAAGTTCTGGGAAGGAGGGATTGTCCAACATCCAGCAGGTCCATAAGCTACTAGGAGCAAAGGGCATCGCTACTAGGAGCAAGAACTAGGGGCTCCTGGCCGTACTACTAGGAACAATGTTCGCTACGATGCTTACCGGCTTGTCGATTCGTGACTGCCCTCCCACCTGTACCAGCGTGTATCCGTTGCGTGAGTTGATCATCTCTGTGGTGAGCTCCTTGTGCGAGGCACAGCCACAAGGAGCTCGGTGGTTGTGTATCTCTATTGATGAGATGTGCTTATCATCGTTAAGCTATTCATGTGGGCAGCATGCTACGTACATTCGACACGGCTCTTCGTTCAGTTGGCGTTCTTCTGTCTGAACAACATTCGAAACGTTTGACACCTTCCACGCCACCAAGCTCTTTCTCAAGTACAGCTTGCCTTGCCACGGCTTTTGGCATCCATGCTGTCATCAAAGACCCAAACCCCAGAGATGCCAGGCGCTGAAGAGGCCTGCCACACAAATATCTTCAGTGAAGCTTCATAGCTCTGTCGCCCTAGAGACTCCAAAAGGATTGCTGATAAGAGAAGGCGAGCTCTTTAAGGACCCTCATAAGGATGTATGCCAACCATTGAAATGCAATAATTAGCCTATTCAGGCCTATTCCATAGAACCCATTGTCACAGAAAAGAAAGGTTGCATCAAACAGCCAATGGTGCGAGCGGAGCCCCAAGGCATCAGAAAGGCATCCGACTGACGCGGTTTGGTCGACGCTTTTTCCACAAGAGATGCGCTGCCCCCGCTCCTAGCTAGGCTAGCTGGGGAAGCTTTCGTTTACAGGGAAGGTCTGCTTGATTCATTTCTGGAAGAACAAGCTGCAGGACGCAGCCATCACAAAGGTGGCTTGGAGTATCTGAGAAATCCTTCAGTTTGGGGGTGTTTGATGTTTGTGCAGGCAGCCAATGTATTTTGTTGGATCCAGAAATTCCTCGCAGCCTAAAGCGGCACTTGTACAACGTTTCTTTGGCTGCAGAGATGCAGCTGGGTACCACGTGGACACTGAGTTTTCTCAGCAAAAAAGATCGTAAAGGCCTCAGGAGACCTGTTGCGGCAGCCTTCACACCAGGAAGCTCCGGAATTGCCGACCGCCTCGGAATTTTAAGTCCAGATGTAGAGTCAGAGATTTGGATATATTTGGAGGAAGTGTCATGGCAGGACAGGTGGACAGGAATGGGCAGGCAAAAGTTCCACCAGCCGTCCACCTTCTGCCTGGAAAGCTGAAAACATATCTATATGAAATGATAGGTGCTTGGTAATATATACATCATGTATGTATACACAATTATATTACCCTCCCGCAACAAACATAGAAGTGGACAACCCCCTGTTTGTGGAGGAAAACGGTCTTCCATTCCAGGGGCCTATTTTCCACTTTCTTCCACGATTGTTTCAGGGAGTGTATATACAAGTGACAGGGGATCATTTTGGTGCCTCTAAGAAGGTCTTCATGATTCGACTCCCACAAGGGTCTACCCGAGCAAGGGGAGCATCAGAGCGTTCCCCCCCATGATGGCAAGCAGCAAATCGTGTGCATCAGCTCGGTCCAGTATTTCAGGCCCTCTGCTTCTGCCTGCAGCAGCACAAATGGTTCAGATGTCATGAGCGAAAAACCGCACCAACAGCTGCAGAGTTGGACTATATGAGTGTCGTGAATACGCACCTAAGTGGTATCGGCTGACTGACTTGACCCAACAGTAGATGGATCAACATCGAGCCGTGAAACCACATGATACCTGTATCTCTTCATGCTCGACTCCTTTCAAGAAGCGAGCATGTCTCAGTCGCCAGGCCTTCGGCACCTCCAAAGTGTAGATCACGGCTGGTAAGGTTAAGCCCTTGGCGCATGAAGCTGACAAACACCACAAGTGGCGTGTCGTGGCAAGAGTTGAGTGACGGAACACACAAGCGTGCGCTGAGTGCGGGGGGCGCTGATTTCAGGCACGTGCGACGAACTCAGCTCAAAAGGCCAAATTCGAGGTAAGGTTCTTGGGGGCATATCATGTTACGGTGATTTTTGATTTGTTTGGCTATCTGGCTGCTCTTGCCCTTTGTTGTAGCTATATTGCACGCGATTCTCGGACTGCGGTATGAAAACCTAGGGTGTCTGAGGTATTGGTAACCGCGCAATTTCTCCAGTCGTCTCTAGTTTCCGAGCCCACTGCAAAGTAAATATGTCATTGAATCGAGCCTAGCAATCGACTGTCTATGGGTGATTGTCATTGTCGTCCAAAAATTTGCCTGCTCGGTTCATGATGATTTGCTTTGCCAATTGTTTCCCCAAATCATACATGGACAACTACGGTGACTAACTAACGAACGAGTGCGAACTAGTGTAACATCAACTACAGTAACCAGGTTTTGAAATCATACTGGACACAAAAGTACTGTAAGAGTAACATCAACTAACTATTGTGACCAGGTTTTGAAATCGCTTTGCACCCTAAACAAGGCCTCGCGAGACTATCCGAGACTCAATGGGGAAATCCTCGGCCTTCGGGGAGCCCACGATTGCCTGGAGAAACAGGTCTGGCTTGATTCACAAGGAATGGTGTATATCAAACACTCCAAATATGTTCAAATCAGATGGTCCAAATGAAATATTATGAAATACAAGTCACCTCAAGAACTGCTTGTCTATTGAAACAGGGAGGCTCGAGCGGTTTGAGGGCTCCCTCTTTCTGGTCATACACATCCAATTGCCCAAATCGCAGGATGAAGAGCTAGAGAGCTTGCTCCACCACCCTTTTCACGGAACAACTTACTTGTTGTTTGAGCAAATCGAGAGATGTAGCAATGTAGCAACCCACGTTTTGACAAAGGCACGGTGTTGACAAAGGTCGGTGTGGAGAAACATCCACGAACGAAACGAGACAACGGTCGTCTCGGCTCGGTCTCGTTGCTTCCTCTCGCCTCTAAGTTGGCGTGCTCAGGCTTTCCAATGGGCAGGTCAAAAGTCTCCTCCCAGACCTGCGGAGTCCGCGGATGCCCCAAGTAGTGCTCAGCTGTTTGGCGGAACATGAGCGATGGAATTTATTTCCGTTAAATTAGCACATGGACCTTCCTTACCTCGTTCTCCAATCCGGCATCGTTTTTGGTGTGTGATCTCGTTCTCCATTCCTGTATCTCGTTTTGGTGTGTGGATACCCATCTCGTTCTCGAGAGGTGTTCCTACCTCGTTTCACAAGCTAAACATGTCATTAACCAAACCATTTCAAACGAATGGCGCATTTGATGCCCATCTCGTTCTCGGGGTGTTCCTACCTCGCTTCGCCAACTAAATCTGACATTGGGCTATAGAAAAGGAACGCCCCTAGACTAATCTTCACTACCGCAAATAAAAGCCGTTGCTCACATGAGCCTGGTTGCAAGGTAACCCATGTATGATGGATGGTTGAAACCCCTTTCTGGAGCTGTTATACAATAGACGTTTTGAGAACAATCATTCCTGGCATGATAAAATGTCGAAATGATTCAATGTATGGCCCTTAACAACTGTTTCCACCAGATTCAATAGCCCAAGGACTGGAAGAAAAACAAACAGCGAATTGCCAGCTGAGAAACAGGATCCAAGTTCTTGACTTTCACAGTGGATCCTAGGATGCATCGCGCAAACAGCTATCAAGTAGCCGCCCAGCAACTCGTGCCGCGTGCAAAAGCAAGCGGAACCCTGGACCTGCTGGTGCTTTAGAGGCCCACATCTGATGGCCACCACACCGACACCCCAGCCGTTCAGTTCTTCAGGGCCCAAAGATTCTTTTGACAGAACTTAAGGCTTAAGTGTCCGGATTGGTAAAAAACCTTCAAAAGCCACTCATTCCTGAAAGGCACTGAGTTCAAACAGCGATTTACAATGATTTACAACGCCTCCATTGGCATACGCCTCCATTCCCCTCCACACTCGTTGGATTCTCCCACCTAAAAGCCATCTACAACGCTTTCTTCATGCCTCGAAGCTACGCTGCACACAGCGGTAGCTCTCCTCGGTGCTAAAGGCGAAGACTTTGACGAAGGGGTCGGAGGAGCCACTCAAAGGCCACACCGAGGTGTCACACCTCAGCAGCGGGAACCAACCCCCGTCGTGGGATCGTGGGATCGCGGATCGCGCGACTTCGCGCGACTTCAGAGCCACGAAGTCTTGTGAAGTCCAAAGAAACCCAGAAGTCGCTTGCACACTTCGGAGGTGAAGTTTCTGAAGTGTCCCTCAATTGCATGAGGGTTCTTCTATGTTCTTCTGCCTCCCAAGCCCATAGTAGCGTCCTTAAGCTGCGACAGCTCCTCTTCTTACCTTCCTCCTGGCCCCTTCCTAAGTCGTCATGGCCTACTGCTCCACCCAGCAAAATTAAGTGTTTAGCAAATGTTAGCAATATTGTTTAGCTATAACGGTAACAACAAACAAAGTGACAACGTGTAAGTTGTGAATGGATGGTGGATGAGTCCAAGAGAGCCTGAAGAACAACTGAGGCTGCCTGAGGCTCCCCACACTGGCAACTTCTCTGCGCGAATGATCCGCACGCTCCAAGCCCCTTGCAAGCGACTTGCGGCGTGAAACCTGGCAAGCAAGCTTTGGGGGATGTGGAGAATGCTTTCTCATTGGCACATTCGTAGGACACTAGAATGGCATGCACCATGTTAGTCTGGCCAGCATGGCTTGGCTTTTCGGTAGTAGTACTGTCACATATATGCAGCCATCAACAGCAGACTGCCCTACAAGAACATCTCTCCAATCCAAGGCAATGATATTGATTGCAAAAAGATGAGCTTTGAAGAGCTAGGTAGCTAGGTTTGCATCTCGCCCACGAGTTGCCGGCTGAGCTTGCTGAAGAAATCTCTAGCGAGCCTTCTCCAAGAAATGGAGTAGGTGATGGTAGCTTCTCCCTCCTCCAGGGCGTGCATCTCTGAAACCACGCTGGACCCTATGACTGGAACCTTTTCTAATCTGTAGTTCTATGTACAGTAGATCTTGCCGCTGGCATTCTACGGCCGCTTGCCCTCACGGGCTATCAAAAGCCAGTTGACTTCACCACAATAGCTGCTGTAAGTTGTAAGAACTGTTGCAAAGCTTTCCGGTAATTACCCTTGCTAGCTGCATTGTGGGCAAATATCTAAGCTCGGTTCACACAGGCTTTGAAGTTGCTCAAGGGGACTTGCTAGGTCTGCAAAGCCCAGTCCACAGCACTTCTCCCAGTGTTAAACGGGCTGCCTTGCCGACGACCGGGGCACCATCTGCCGTGAGCAGCGGGGCCGTGGTCTCTGGAGTCTCTGCTAAATCCACAAAGACCTTCGTCAAAGTTCACAATTTCATCCACTGGCGTTCCTTCGTCAATGCATCTGGCCTTAAAAGTATAATAATGATTTGTCCAATGATTTGTATGGGTTATTGAGTATAGAAACGTATAGAATATTGAATATTGTGTACACGGTATACACACGCGCCGATATCATTTATGATGAGCCATTAAAGCCACTGGCTTGCGTCACTGGCAAAAAGATGGCCTGACCCATGAAATCGCTGTCAGTCATGGAGTCAAAGTCATAGACCACCAGTTGCACTTTCGCCCAGCTGTCGGAGTTGCCGAAGCCTCGATCGGCGAAAGCTCGGCGCTCAGCGCTTTCGTGAGAAGCTAGGACAACTGGAGACTTCGACGTGTTCCAGGTAGGCTGCGAACAGCACAAGCCATCACAAACCAATCAAGAAAGGTTCCTCTCCAACGTGGTGGCCTAGGGCCTAGGGAGGAACAAGCGGTTTCAAAGGAAACGAACGCAGGACTAGGCCAGGCACGGTGGCGGTAGGCTCGCGCTGCCTCCCATGCCAGCCTGAGACAGGCGGCACTGCTCTCGCCAACCGAACTTTGACCCAATAAAGACCCACTGCTGCCACTTATAACTTGTTCTCGTGAGTAATTCCCACGGAGAAGAGAGGGTAAAAAGATGCAAAAAACAGATTCAGAAAAAAACATGTTTTTGAGGTCTCTCAAAGGTCTCTTTGACTTTTTTTATTACTTCGTGAGAAAACCACAAAAAGAGAACAAAACGCCCCGGCGATGAAAGGCGCATGCCTCTGGATTCCTCCCACATAAAGGCGCCAAAAGTCCAGGCGGTCCTGATGAGTCGATCTCGACTCCGACGGGTGCGGTTGACGAGAACACGCTGGAGAACCACACACAGGAAATCCTTCACAGTGGAGAAGCTACGACCCAGTATTTCTCTGGATTCAGCTGAAGTCTTCCATGAACATGGTATAGACTGTGAGAAGTGTTCCTGATTGTTCCTGCTTCGTGAGTCTCCTGCTGCTCCTCTGCACTGCGTGTCGAGTGCTCCTCCAGCGTATTGAGCTCCGACCTGCCAAAGGGCCATTTGAGAGGTTGTTCGACGCAAGAAGAACTGCCACCAGTGAAAAGGCTCAAGGAGACTGGACAGGTGTTCTGCTTTCGCGTCACTCGTCATGCGACAGTGTCGCTCAGCCCTTCGCTTGAGCCCAATCGGTGCAACGGTGGTGCCCTGAGATGACGGGAGTGCGACGGCCTGCCCCAATCGAAGATCTTGACCAAAACACTCTTCCGGAGGTCAGCTTCCTGCTCGGGCGAAAAGCCTTCACCGTCTTGATGTGCCTTAGCGGCCAAGTGGAAACTCCGAATCTTGTGAGGACGGGAGCCGGATAAGAAGTCTGACCAAACCCTGCAGCCATCGCAGAAGAAGCAGGACTACTACAGTACTGACTGGATATCTCGAAGTGTGCCTGCCTGCCATGCACGCACGACTGGGTGACAACTGACACAACTTGTCTTCGACCGACAAGCTAGTCTTCCAACCTTTGCGCATCCTCAAACATACCAAGGTGCAATGTTTTCGGCGAAGGCATCATCAAATCCCAAGGCTACCGAACTGCCTCTGCCAACTGCCAGGCTTTAGCCACTTTAGCTCTGAATTGATGATGTTCAAGAAGTCATGGAAGGAACGAAATAGAATGAATATGAATGAATTGAAAGAATGCATCAAGTTTATCATCAAAGGCCGGGGTGGATGGATTACATTACGTGTTTTTGTGGCCTCAAATCTGCAACGCTCCACCCGTCTCCAAACCTCTCCCAGTCTCGGCCTATCCATTTCTGGGGTGCTTGTGTGCTACAACAGGCCACTGTGAGGCCAACCAGCTTCTTGCAAATCCTCAGGTCATGGGGATGTTCGAGCAGTGTATAGTAGGTATTCAGTTACTGCAACCCAACAACCATGCTTGGCACATGGAGTTGATTCTTTGGGGATCCGCCAAACAAGGGCTGAAATCAATCCAAAGATCTCATCTAAGACCACCTCTGCCAGCTCGCTCGAGGGATGCTTCTGTGGATCATAGCTATGCAAGTCTAAGAAATGCGTCAGCATGTCAGCAGCTGGAAGTCTTTGGAGCATCAAGCGCCGTGCCTAGCACTCTGCTGAGAGCATCAACAATCCATGTGAGCCAGGTAGCAATGCCCCCTCATGTCTGAGATGCTACAAATGACGCGTTGAACTACACAAAAAGAGTACCACGACATACCACGACAACGTTTCTGAAACATGCCATCGATCAGCCGTGCAAAGGAAACCAAGAGTATACTACCAGGAGATGACATGGGAGTAGTGAAACGTACATTCAGAAATGAATTGTCCGATCTCATGTGTCCGCAGCTGCAATCTGACGGGACGGTTTTTGACCAAACAAAAAGTGTATCTCATGTGTCCAAAGCACATGAATGAGGCCTGAAAGAACTATAAGGTCCTATCCCGAAACCAAGTCTTTCATCAAAACCAAGCTAAGCCAATACTTTCTATTATAAATTACATTAAATTACATATATTTCCCACCATCAGCATCATTCGCCTCTATCCACGTCCACAAAAACCAAACGCCCTCGACGCCTGTCAGCCTGACAGCCCCTCGACCTGCCTTTTTCTGCGTGGATTTGCTGTGGCCCTCCTCGCCACCGATATCCAGTAGAGGATCCATGGACAACAGCACCGGCGTCTGGCCATCAAAGCCCTCCAGGCGGAAGCCTTCGGCCTTTGCATCGGTACAAAATGAAGGGATGAAAACTGACAGAAAAGGTTTTTTCTGATATATCCTATTATATCATATTATGAGAATCTGTTGTTCAAACATGTTCAAATGGCGTTTGGCACAGCCCTGGATGTGGGCACGGAAGGGCATGGACACCCCTACCAGTCTTTGGACAGCCCTGATGATAGCCCTTGCTGAGAGCTGTGTACCTGGGAGTTGGTGTGCTCATCAATCAAGGCTTGTCGCAGCGCTGCCAGGCGTGACTTGCCTTTCCAGTTTGCAGCTGCCGTCCTCAGCTTCCAAAGAAGTTGCAAGTCGGGTGGAAAACCAGGTGAAACTCGAAACATCATGTCATGGGGTAACTAAAAACTGCTAAAAGCCAGAAGAGTTGGATTCCAAGCTTCTTCTCTCCCACCTTGATGTCCAAAAGCCTCAAAGACTTTCGGCCATGTCGCATGTTTTGTAAGACCAGAAGCTCCAAAGGACCCGGATCCTCCACATCTTTCTCGGTTGTTTTTAGAATGCCATCCTCAGAGCGTGGACATGAACGGACAGCCTGCCGTTGCTCATGTGTGTGTGTGCCAACGTGGTCTCAAATCACCGGTCCGGTGCGCTAAGCTATCAGGTTTGGCAAGCAGTGATGGTTCATTAGTTCGCTCTGTTCTGGGGATTCTATCGTTTCGCACTGTTGTTCTTCAGGCGTTGAAAAATAGAATTGGGTCACAATGAAATACAGAAATACATTTCTTAAGAAGCATACGATCGCCGATCACCAAAGAAACATAAAGAAACTTTAAGGTCATATAAATCATATCATATAAGATAAAACAAACACTTCCAAAAGATGCTCTCCAATTTCACGAGGGTCGTACTCGAACATGAAGTTGTACAACGCTTGCACCTCGCGACTCGAATGCTTGCTCAAGCTCTTGACCTTCTCATAAAACTGCACTTCGTCGGTCGCCCGACTCAAATCCTTGCCAATCCAGTAATCACCGAATCTCTTGCCCTCTGGCTTTGTAAGCTGAAGGCTGAAGAACGGCGCAGTACCACCAGACACTCCGAGTCTCTGCACCGGAGTCACAAACTTCTCGGTGTCCACATACGTGAGGTCAGCAACCTGCTCATCATTCTCGGGCAAGTGGATGAGAATTTGCACCTCAGCTCAGCTTGGCGTGGAAGCTGTGTGATGTTTTTCCACCTTTCATCGATTGTTTTGATACCAAAGAGTGGACAGAGCACTCTACAACCAAATAGACACTAATTAAGTGAAGTTTAGTTTCCCACAAGACCTAGGAACCAAATTGAACAGCGTGAGCTATCCTGCGGTAGTAGCGTCCTACCGCCCCTACTTAATTAGGTAGCCGCCTACTTAGCTAAGTAAGAGCGGGCTAATAGAAGAATAGAGATTTTAAAACAGAAAGCCCGTGGTCACTGCATCGCCCACAGCAACCTTTCATCTCAGGCACGACGATCCGCCCGGTGTTTTCCCCGCGCTTGTAGAGTGGAATGGGCTGTGGCTGCGTCTGCATAAAGCCCACGGAGACGGTCCTGGCACCACTGAGCAGCATGTCCACGGGCACCGTGGCATCGCCACAGAAGGTGGACTTGCCGAAGCCCAGGAAGTTCTCCTCCATCACCTCCATGGCTGCGGATGTCAGCCATGGATATCATGGTCTTCTTTTGGACAAGTCAGCTTGGAACTGCTTGTTCACATTGGATTTCAAGAACACATCTTCCCAGAATTTAGTATGTGCTAAAGGTGACCGGTTTTCGGACAAATTCATGTCATGCTGTGCTGTTTGAGGGTGTCTTTGACTAAGGTTACTAAAGTGGCAGAATCTCAGAATGATGCTTCTAGGGGCTCCTGGCATCGCTACTAGGAGCAAGGACGCTACTAGCCCTGTTTCTTTGGCACAAGTATGTTGCTGGTACTGCATGGCGCCTGAAAGCGCAGCTTGTCACCACTGCCATTGCCAGAGTAGGCCATCATCTTACAGCTATGCTCCCACACAGGAGTCATGTGCCTCAAACACGGAGTGGGTGTTCAATTGCTAATGTATGCTATTGTAAACAAAACTGGACCAGGCATGGGAAGAGTTGGTCCATGCCGCCACATAAAGTCCTTGTTGACATCCAAGGTTCAAACAAAGCACATCACCCCAATATCTCTTCGGACCCTTACAAACCCTTGTGAACTTCGTCAATTCTCCGTAACTCATTTCATACTCACTGGTTGTTGCGTGTCCAACACCATAGCTGGACCAACAAAACCAGCATTCTAGATCTAGATCTTGTGGACTTGCTTGTACTTAGCACCAGCAGTGGCACTTGTGATTGTGTTAGTTCATTAGATACAATAAGCAGTAACAGTCAGGCCTCTAGATGTCTCTTCTGTTTGGCTCTTCTGTAACTTGTGCACAACACTCATGTGGGCATCTTGGCCTATTGCGGGTGGACGGAGCAATGCGCATACAGCATGCACTTCGACTATCCTTGAATGTGCCCTGGAGCTACCCTCAAGCATGAACCCTCCAGAATTCAACGATTGCAAGGAGCCAAGTGGCTGTCTTGCTGCAGTCTTCGTTCTGCCTATGCTCACAACACGTCCATCTTCGTAGCACCAATCGACCAGCGCAAAGGGATCCATGCGACCGAACCTCACCAGGAGAAAACCGGAGATGGAGGTGGGTGAACGAAAGATGGCTTCTAGGCATCTACAGGTTGCAAAAACGGCTGTACACGAAGAAATTTGAAAGGGGCTCATGTCCTACTAGTGTCTGTGAAGCGGTGCTTCGGACTTGTGTGTCTTCTGTGCCACATTGAGCATGCGGGGGACTGTCAAATGGAGCAGGGAGCGTCTGATCCAGGGGGGCACTTCATGAATATCATCCTTCTGCTTCCAACTTTCCCTTGTTTGCATCACCACCGAGTTCCAGGAAGTTCCAAGTCCTTTCTTTCAAAACGTCCGTTGTGCTGCCCAGGAACTTGTCAAAGCTCCGGTAGAGCTCTGCCGAGATCACGCGCACCACGATCTGCGAGGCGCTGATCGCTTGGGGTTCATTCACCCGGCGATAGCCCACGAGCTCCACCTTCTGCGCGCAGTCGCGGGCCTAAGGATTTCCGGCGTTCATCCAGTCTAAGACAAAGGTGTGTATTGAATTGGGAGACCCAACGAGACCCCAAAATAGTAAAATAGATAAACACATAAATATAAACGTTAAGTGGAAGAAAGTCTCCGTCTCCTTTCCGGGCTGGTCGCAAGCAAACAACTCAGGCCTACTTGAACCTATTTTGATTTCTTCCAAGAGAGAACTCCACCATCTCGTACAGTCCTAGAGACAGAATGCTACCTCTGATACTGACATGGAATGCTTCCTGGCTTCCTCTTGACAATATTGTGGCATTCAAAGAAATTGAAACCGTTGCTCCACCATGTGTGGACCTTCCATTGCGTCCAGCCACATGTGGACCCTCTGGACCCTGGCAATAGGTGCAGCACGTCCGATATGCTGCGAAGGCCGGGCGCTGGCAGCCCCGTTCGCAAAGCCGGCCTTGCAATTGGCGCGTTACGGTGCGGTACAGGGAACAAAGGTGAACAGCATGGGTCGCTGACCTGGTCCTAACCTGCTAGCTTGGATGAAACCCACATGCCATGGAACACATCAAACCAAGCAACGCAAGGGCTGCAAGGGTAAAGTTTATGTCTCAACGCTTGACACGGAAACCTCTGAAACATGTGATCGAATGCTGCAAAGTATATGTATGAACAAGCACGCCTTTTTGCAAGTGGTCAAGCTGCTGTGCCATGCCGTGCACATTGTAAATCGATCTATATACTATATACTCACAGTACCAGTCTTGAATTCTCGACAGGACACATATGGATACCATCCAACAAGAGTCCCTCGAAGGTGTCAATAAGTCAAACTCTGCAAATCGTGCACTTCATGTCTCCTGCTACATGCGTCCATTGTTCCCAATGAGCTTTGCACACCCAGTGATCACCTTGGCAACGAGGTGCCTTCACAGGTGCTTTGACCTCGCGTCCCTCTTCCAAGCAAATAGTACACCTGCGATCCTCACATGTCGGGAGGTTGCCGAGCGCAATATCGCATTTCTTTGATACCGCTGAAAGCTTATCCAGGAAGACCTCATTCGGCACTTTCTGGATCTCTTCCACCATTTTTCGAACCTGTTGAAGGTGACTCTGAACCTTCTCTTCTTCAAAGGTGTAGACCTGCTTCCAAACACAGCAAAGTCCGAAGACTGCCAAACATCCGCCGATCAAACCTCCTGCTAGAACAGCCGCAGGCACAGACAATGGGGCTGAGACAACATGAAGCAGGAAGAACACTTTGATGCCCTCATAGTTGAAAAAGCTAACAACTCCACCCACAAAGGCTGCACTGCCGACGACGATGCTTGCTGCTTTTCTTGGATTTTGCTTAGCCCAAAGCTTCCACACATAAGTCTGACGTGAGAACCATCCATCTTCCACGCCCAGAATATGATAGAGGCGGACTTCAGTCGTGTCGAGTAGTTGGGCCATTTCCCTCAAGATCTGGTCAAGCTCATCTCTCGTGGGCCCAGGGGACAAGTCCTCGTACTCTTGTCGGATTGCAAGTTCCTTGAGGCAAAGGACGTTCCTCAAGTCCTTGTAGCACGCAAGGACACCCCTGATGTGTTGAATCTTGTGGTCGAGTTCGGAGAGGCTGTCTTCGTAGGCATCTTCTGAGTTCAAAACACTCTGAACATCCTCCCTGTTCAGAAATGCCAGCTCATCTTTCAGCCGAGTTTTCGCCAAATCGCAGCTCATGAGTGCTTTTTGGAACCGCGTGAGCGGATCGTCGTTCAAAGGCAAGCACTCTCCTGCACCCTGTGCTAAAAGCCTCATTGGTCCTGACATGGCCACTGAACCTGAAAGCCCAGATGCTGCGGACTGGTTGCACCCACTTGCAGGCGTTTTCACGCAACAACTTCATGCTAATTTGCTATAGATGTGCCAGATATCTTACTACGCTCAGCATGGTTCGTGCGACCCGCCTCCAGGGGTTGATCCCACGGAGGTAGAAGAAGAAGCCATTGCTTTGGAAGCAGGTGTTTAAGAGGGGATGAATCAATGAATCGTGATGATGTTGTGTTTTTATCAGCACAGACCGAAGGGTTGGCCCAGAGCTGGCTGCTGCAGTGAAAGAAGGGAGAAGGGAGCTCTAAGGGAAGCATACCAGAGTGTCCATCATTACGGTTTTCACAAGTATGCAAAGGCCATCCACTTTGACCATTCTCGACATCTTGTGTCAATGCCTCACCTAAACCGGCTATTTTTGCTGGCAATGACATGACCCGGACTATCCTCGTCCACTGTGCTTTGCAAGTATATATATATATATATGATCCACTCTCACTGCGCCAGCATAGCGCATTCTTTTT